GCCTCCTTAGTTTTTATGGTCTCCGAGAGCTGCCTCAGGAGCCCCAAATCTAGCTCTTCCCCTTGGTGTGGGGGTCTGTAGCAGACCCCTACCACCAAATCCCTTTCTCCTTGACCCCCATGTAACCTAACCCACAATCCTTCTACTTTCTCCTCGTTCGATTCCGTCTTGATAAGGGTCGATGTATATTGCTCATTGACATAGAGCGCAACCCCTTTCTTCCCCACTCTGTCCTTTCTGTACAGTTTATAACCCTCAATATGTACCGCCCAGTCGTGGCACGAATCCCACCAGGTTTCTGTTAGCCCTACTAAGTCATAGGTGTTTTCTGCAAGCAGGAGTGCTAGTTCATCCTGCTTGTTCCCCATGCTCCTAGCATTAGTATATAGGCACTTGAGCCCTGTGACTGGCGCCTTTGCTGCCCCCCAGCTCTGATTCCCAAAGGGCCCCTTATTTCTTACCTGTGCTGTACTGCTGGCCACCCCATGAATTGCAGGTTCCCGATGTTCTCCTTCTTCAGGCTGGGCTGTCCTTGTAAGTGCCACATGGTTTGGTGGTCCACGGCTTCTCCCACCCTCATCTTCCCCTCCCCCCGATGAGCCTAGTTTAAAGCCCGCCGAAGGAGATCCGCCAACCTAGAAGAGAACACACGCTTACCTTTGGGGGACAGGTGAAGCCCATCCCAACTGAGCATGTCCCTCGTTGTGATGTGCGGGTCATTGTCAAGGAAGCTGAAGCCTGCCTCGAGACACCATTGCCGAAGCCGCCAGTTGGTCTCTCTAATGCAGTTCTCAAGCCGCCAGTTGCTCTCTCTAATGCAGTTCTCATTTTGATCATTTTTGATTTTGATAGGTCCCTAATTATAAGACTGTCTGATATATGGAAAGCCGAACCATAAGCCTTATCAATGTATTAATACTTTACTACCCTTTTTGGTGCCATCCATTTTTGTTAGCCTGACTTTTTATTTATTTATTTATTTTCTTTCAGAATCAGAAATTAAATACATTTAAAAACACAGCTTTTAAGATCAACGTGTGAAACTCTTGCATTAGCTTGGTGATTGAGTCTGGTGCTCTATGTTCCAGTTTCTGCTGAGGTGCTTGACCATAAGTTTTCAAATATTTCTTGTTGCCTTGGAGTGTTCTTTTTACAGAGGATTATTTGTCTGTATTAGACTTATTCATATAAGTTGCAGTTTATTGTAGTAGACAATATAACTCCAAACCTAATAATTAACAGAAATCTCTAGTCTTCATTTAAAAAAAATGTACTTTCTGAGTGTTTTCATGTATAAACTTTTTTTCCTTTGCATTTTTTCTTTTTAGAGAGAATGCAGAAGAGGGAAGAATAATTGTAGAAGTTGATAACAAAGTGGCAAAAGTCAGAAACATAAAGGTATGTTTTTGAGGGGGGGTGTTTGTTTTTTGTATACAGATGTTCTGTATAGTTAATTGGCAACATGATCACCCCAAAACCAAACTTAATAAGACAGGAAGGAAATAGTAAAGAAAAGTTATAAATTGGCAAAGCAATGGAGATGTTTTAGAATTGCAGTGAACATCTTTTTTTAAAAAGATAAACAAGGAGCTTAACCTCTAGTTGTACTGCCCTTGCTTTCTGTATTCTGTATCTTTTAAAAACTTATGTATTGGCTGCAAGTATTTGTTCAAGGCTCTCAGTAACAGCAAGATCAGCGCAGAATTCTAAACATCTGGGTAGCTTTCTATTTCTCTTTCTTTTTCTCTTTCTCTGTCCCATCATTTGCAGTTAGTGATTGCAACTAACTTGTATGCAGCTGCACAGGATATTTTCAGCCACAGTTAAGGCACTAGTGAATGAATGGGAACACTTAAATTTGACTTACTGTGCTTTCCCTCTGAAATTATTGGAATCTACTTGAATGGAACCTGGGAATCAGCTGTGTTCTAGACATTTCTTAATGGTTCCATTCTTCCTCATTAAAGTAGTAAAATGCAACCAGAATTAATTTGTGTTGTGATGCTTGAAAGGGAGATAAACAGGGATCCTGGCTTTCTCTGTTTAAAAATCGCAAATTCTCTGATAAAAATTACAGATTCTCTGATTAAAAAAACCCAAATCAACAGTTAAAATGAAACACCACTCTACATGTAGGTACCAATTGAATGCAATGTTTTATTGATATAGTTACAATTTTAAAGCAGTTGGAAGCCTACCAGTGCCTCAGTCACTATAATTAAATAAATTCTAAATACCTGTATATTTTGGCATTTGATTTTGGGTTTTTATCACGGAAAATCAGAGCTCCCCCTGCCCCCTTCGCTCACCAGGATGCAGGTCTAGGTCCCTCACTCCCAAGCCACAGCCCCATAGCCCTGCCAATGCCCCTTACTCCCCACCTGCAGCCCACTGTCCCCTACCAGCCCTGCCAGAGGGGGCACCCAGCTTCCAGGGTTATGGGGCCAGGAATCCAAGTCTGCAGCCCCCTGCACACCGCGCCCCCCAGCAGTGCCAAAGCCCTGGCTGCCGCCCGTAGAAGGCAACAGCTGCTGCAGCAGAGTGGAGTGCATTGGCCGGAGTGGAGCCCTGTGGGTGGGGGAATGGATGCGGGCTGCCCGCTGCGGGCTCAGAGCTCCCAGCCCTGCTGCTCTTTACCCGGGGCCTCCATGGCCCAGTGGGTGGGACCTGGCAGGGAAGGCCAGAGCAGGACAGGGAAGCTCATTGCTGCTGTTAGGAACTCTGCGCCACCCTGGTAAGGCGCCCCCTGCCTAGCCAGCAGCAGTGAGGTATGCAAATCTGTGCCACCACCCCTGCTTTTGGGTGGGCAGGGGGGAGCTTTGCCAGGGCAGCATGGGGTTTGTAGCAGCAAGGAGCTTCCCCACCTAGCCGCGCTCTGCCCTGCTGCGCCAGGTCCCGCCTGTTGAGCTGTAGACACCACAGGGAGAGGGCAGGAGGGCAGGGAAGCTGATCCCACAACGGGCAACCCACAGCCAGCCCCGCCCTGCACACATATCTGAGGGACGTGTGCCCCCCCATGCCTCTCCTGGGAGTGCGCACAGTGGTGGGGAGCCAGCCCCACCCCCCTTCACCTCCTGCACAAGCCATGCACGGCTCTGTCCCACACCCCGCCAGGGCCCAGTGGGTGTGTATTCCAGTCTTGGGCCCCAAGCCCCATGTACTGCCTGTCACAGGCCAGCTGGGCACTGTGAGTATATCAGTTTAGTTGCAGGCTGACCAAGCATTGCAACTTTATTAGCCACTGGGCTTTTTGGTTCGGGATCGAGGAGGAGATGTTGGGAAGGAAAGCAACGACAAGTTTCACTTAAAAAAGAATGAATTTTACTTATAACAACAAAAGATATAGTTTGCACATATAACAGTTAGTAAAAAGGTTAAGCTAATAAACAGACAACATAACAATACAAGTTAAAATTGACAGTGATAATAAAAACAGATAGAAATCAACCAAGAGTTCCCACTTGGTTAGTAACTTATTGATAGTCCTTCAGTCAGAAACACATCAAGTTGATTCAGCAAAGTCAGGCGTTTCCAATTTACGCTGTCAGAAGGAGAACCGGAGGAGGGCCCTCGGTCAGGATCTGGTCTTCGTTCACACAGGGAATAAGAGAGATCCAGGGGAATGGAAGAGCAATGCCCCTTCTGTTCCATCCTTCCTGAGGGTTACTTAGTGTGCGTTCTTTTATATCCTGTTTATGCCTATTTTTTAGTTATATAGCCATTCATAATGTTATTCTATAGCTGTTATCCTATGGGGTTTAAAGGTGTTAGAAATCATTACAATAAGTTACTGCCCAATAAGCAAATCACACCACATCACTTTGGGGTCTGAGATTAACATGTCCCCACCTAAGTTTATTTTACTGTCTCTAAGCAGAAAAAAATTATAAAATTATCTAAGTCTGCCGTTATATCCTTTAGTTCTGCTTTTTAAAAGTCATGCTGTGTCAAGATTAATATAAAAGTTATATATAATTTGTGTGGGTTATACTCCAGACAGACAAAAAACAGTTTCATAAGTTTTATTTCAGATATCTTCAAAAAGCATTTTCTTTTGTTATAACTGCTTATTAACCCTTTTGGTTCTGGGTATCACAACTGCCCCAGCTGGGCAGCATCCCCAGCCCTGCCCAACTCTCTGCATCCCTTCCTTCCTCCCTATGGGGTAGGTCCTCAATCCCTTCTCTCCCCTGCCAGACTTACCAGTGGGAGCTGCTCTCCAGGCTGCCTGGCGGCCACGTGAGCACACACATAGTTATGGCATCCCCTGCCTGACTACCCCTCTTCCATTCCCCCCGGGCCCTTGCAGACTGGAACTCTGCCAACCTGCAGAGAGCTCTTTGCAAAAGTAGAAAATCTGTGTGTTTCTCTGTTCAAATGAAAAATCTGCATTTTTCTTGGTTAAATGGGGAAAATCCATGTTTTTTCTGTTTTTCCATGGGAAACAGAAAACCCAGTTCCCTAGAGATAAGTAAACTGTAGAATTACAAAGATTACTGTGGGAATTCTAAAGGACTGATACTTGATTTATTTTGTTTTCTTTTTCGCTTATTTTTGTCTGTCAACCCAATTATTTTAGATGGCTTCTTCAGGAAAACTGCTGTAATATTTTAAATTTCCTAGGAGGAAGCTTGGCAAGAACCGAATAAGCAGACTTTTTCTCTTTGTTTTATCCTCTTTTCATTATGCTCTTTCTTTGTGTTGGCTTTTAGGTCTGGGCAGTTGATGGTATACAGGAGATCAGTCTCTCTCTCCTGCATGTGTGAAAGGGAAAGGTGCTGCTTATATAGTGTAAAATTGCATTCTCCATCATGTACAGTATTAGGGTCACAGTTATTCAAGTTGTTTACCTGGGTGCAGACCCTTAACTTTCTCTGAGCCCCACTAATATTTGTTGGCATGTGGCCTGGTGTAAGTATCTCTCCAGGCAGTCCACCTTCATAGATTTCATAGATGTTTAGGGTCCCTCAATCTCTCCTCATAGGATCTTACCTGCAGGCCTTTAACCATACGAGTAGCCCTCCAATGGACCTTCTCAAGGTTATCCGTATCCCTCTTGAAATGTGGTGCCCAGAACTGGACACAGTACTCCAGCTGCAGTCTTACCAATGCCACATAGAGGGAGAAGTATAACCTCCTTAGACCTGTTCATGATGTACCTTCTAATGCATGAAAGAGTGCCTTTGGCTTTACTTACCACTTTGTCACATCGATGACTCATGTTCATTTTGGAGCCAACTATGACTCTGAGATCCCTCTCTGCTGCTGTGCTGCTTAGGAAGTCACCTCTCAGTCTGTAGGTGTATTGGTGGTTCTTTCTCTCTAGATGGAGCACTTTGCACTTATCTTTGTTAAACTGATCTGCCCACTTTCCCAAAACAGGCAGTCCTTGGACTTGCAACACAATTGGTTCCTGAAAACTGCCATTTTAAGTCAAAACGTTGTAACTCAGAACCCGTTTTCTCATAAGAAACAATGTTATAAATGGGGGATTGGTTCCTGAACAAAGGCTTGATACCCTATTTTCACCAAAAATACCCCAGAATTTTGTACTCGATCAATTATAGATGAGTAATATAGCTGCATTAATGTTTTTATATTATAAACAACAGTCATATTGATTTGGAAGGACTTTTTAGAGGTGATTTTGCTGGACTTTTTGAAGGGCTCTTAGTTGGACTTTCTGAAGGGTTCTTGGCTGGAGTCTTCTCATGAGTCTTGGCTGCAGGTTTTTCTGGAGTCTTGTCTGCTTTCTTAAAGAAAATGTCCAAGGAAGTTTGGACAGATGTTCTCCAGGGAGATGGGCAATGCAGTGAACTTGTTCGCTGCTGTGGCGTTGCATCAGATCAAGCGTAGTAAAGTCGAAACTGACATCATAAAGTTGAAACGGCATCAATTTATAAATTTTGTAAGTGCAAAATGTTGTAACTCAAAACGTTGTAAGTCGAGGACTGCCTTTATGTCCAAATCCGCCTGAATCCGCTCCTGCCCTCCATTGTGTTTACTTTGCCCCGTAATTTGGTGTCATCCGTGAATTTGGACAGAGTGCTTTCCATGCCCTCATCCAAGTCACTGATGAAGATATTGAACAGCACTGGTCCAAGGACCAAACCTTGGGGAACTCCACTGCCTACATGTTTCCAAGTTGAAAACGACTCATCCACCACCACCCTCTGGGTGCATCCCATAAACCAATTCTCCACCTACCTGACCGTATAATCATCTACGTAGCAACTGCTTAATTTATTTGTAAGAATGGGATGCTACACTGTATAATAGGCCTTTTTAAAATCCAAGTAGATGACATCTACCTCAACTCCTGTATCTAAGCATTTTGTGACCTGGTCGTAAAAAGAAACAAGGTTAGGCAGGTAGGATCTACCTGCTATGAAGCCATGCTGGTTGCCTTTCAGCATTATTTTTCTACTGGACTCCCACAAATGTGATCCTTAATAATTTTTTCAAAGGTTTGCCCAAGGATAGAGGTGAGGCTAACCAGCCTATAGTTACCAGGATCATCCTTTCTCCCCTTCATAAAAATAGGGACCACACTGGCCCTTTTCTAGTCCTCTGGGACCCATCCTGAGTGCCATGAGTGCTCAAACAACTGAACCAGTGGTTCTGCTATGACACTGGCCAATTCCTTCAACACCCTTGGATGAAGATCATCTGGGCCTGCTGACTTAAACACATCCAGCCTCTCCAAATGCTCCTTCACTAGGTCAGCGCTAACTGTTGATGGACTGGAGTCCCTCTTGTGCCTGTCTTTGGTCCTTTTGGGAGATATGACTTTATCCATGCTCAGAAATACAGATGCAAAGAACTTATTTAGGAGGTCAGCTTTATCCCTCCTATCTGTTTCCAGTTTGCAAGTTTGGGTCTGCTGCTTTTACTTTTTCAGACGTTCAGAACTTTGTCTCTAAAATTCAAATTAGCAAAAGATAGACAAGTTATAAAAGTTATAAATGTTACAATAACCACTTAGCCACAGTGCTACCCAGGGCCACGTCTGGATTCAGGTTCCTCGGGTGTCAAACAGTCTCAGTCAACCTCCCAGCCCCTAAGGCTGAGGCCACCTCTCCACGGAGTGCTTTCTTGTGGTTTCCCCACACACTGGAGTACATACAGGCTAACTATTTACACAGTTTATTATTTACAAAACAGTCAACATAGGAATGAGGTTAATAGAACAGGATATCAATAATCTAATTGTCAAAGGCAGGTATTAATGAACTAAAACACTCCATACAAATTTAATCAAAGACACCCCAGTACAACTCCCCAGCTTAAACCTTGAGACTCCAGTGAATTTCAGCAGAAGCACACAGGGTTAAAAAGACATCACAGGGTTATCACAAACATCAGTTCTCCTTCACACCTGCAACATAATAACCACAGCTGGTGCTGCTGCTTCAGAAAGTCCTGCTCTCTGCTAGAGCCTGTGTGGGGAAAAGAAAAGCTCTCCTCTACTCCAGCTGTCTGTGGTATCTTACCACAGACAGGTCCCTCTGCCTCAGAGGGAAAAAGGATACTGGGTTATCTTCTCCCCATCACTAAGGGCAGGTTCACTTCACAAGCAGGCTGCAGGGTGGTCCCTCCTCGAACTCTGTGGTCCCAGGGCTCCTTCTCTTCTCTGAGCCTGGCTGAGCTCCTGCCCCTCTCCTGCCTCAGGAGCCAATCACAAACATGCATATGCTCTTGCAAACAACAACTTCCTGCAAGTTCTGCAAACTCCCACTCTGCCTTTGCAGGGATCCTGAGTCCTGCTGCAAATCTAGCAGTAGTTGTTATACCAGTTTCTCATCTCCCTTCTAAAACGTTCAGGTTAGAATTTCCTGGCCTACTAAAACTAAGACACAGAGGCTTAGGACTTGGGTACATTGAGCTACTGGGAATAGTCTACAGTTTACTCCAGCAATAGAGCTATGGTATCTTTATGAACTTCTTGTTCCATGGGTCATGCCCATATGAAGAGATGTACTTTTTAATAGAGTATATGTACTTGTTTTTGTATAAAGCAAGTGAAGTACATGAACAGACCGAAGTAATTGTGAAGTTTCAGTAAGGTTACAAAAACAATTATTTTGCACAGACCATTGTTTTTGAGTTGGGCAAAACTTTTTGCATTTTACTGAGATTTTCCTGATATTTATATGCTTCAGAGATATTAAAATATTTTGTTATAATCCCATCTTCAAAACAGATCTGAAGGGTGTAATGCAGGTGTAGACCTTTAACAAAGAGGTCCCTCTGGAATAAACTAGAGCATAGGTAAACATTTTGCATCTGCAAATGTTCTAATAGGCTGTAGCAGTTAACAGCCCATACTTTACTCTTAGGATGTTTTAGAGAAGTATACTAACCTGTTTTTGTTAGGAAAAAAAGTGGAAAAGGCCATAAAGCTCAGAGCATACACTCATAGTGGTCCAAGTAAATAATCCCTGGCATAGAATATGTGATGATATGAAAAAAAAAATCAAATATTTTAGAAAACTGGCTATGGACTAGAAAGTATTTGGCATGCAAGCGAAATATTTCAATAGTTCAGATAAGCCACTAAACTAAAATTTCCAAGTGACCAGTATAGATTATTGAGTGCCCAAATGGAAAGAACCTAAAAAGACTTTTTTCTGAATCTGGTGTTCTGAACTGTTTGCGAAAAATGAGAGCTTCCTTCCTACACTTCTCAGGAATGTGATGGGCTGTTGGCTGTCTTCTTGCCCTCCAGCTGTAATATCCTCTATCCCTGTTGTCTGCTTAGAGAAAGCACTGGCCACCAGGGTAATGTTGGAGGGACTTGAGGCTTAAATCTCAGCAGTTATTTTAGTCTGTGAGATCAGACTGACCTGAGAATCCCTTCTTCCATCTTTAGGCTTCAGATATGTGGCTGAAGTAATTGGGTGCAGCTAAGTCTAGTTAAACACAGTTCCTTTTTAAAAGTTCACAGTCTTATTTCATGGTCTGTAGAAACAAAGCAGTGGATGGTTCTGCTAGATGAAAGATCAGATAGGTCTATTTGGAGACATAAGAGTTCCTACAAGGACTGCATTTGCTGATGGGGAGAATTATGTTGTCTTGCTTTGGTGGTTGGTGAAGGCTCTCAGTTACCTCGTTTGCCCCTGCTAGAGAGTGCAGTGGAAAGAGCCTCTCTTGGTTACAGCATAAAAATGGCTCCAAATGATAGCATAGTACAAACCTTGTTATTGGAGATAATCCTTTGGGATTATCTAATAATAGGCTACTTAAAATTTTAATGCTAGCCAAAGGAAGCATCAGTTGTCACTAAATTCAGCATGACTAATTTGGAATCATATGGGCTTCTCCACACACAAAGTACTTTTTACTTTTAAGGATAAATTTACATTAATACTTTCACAGTAGTGAGACTACTGTTAGCAAACAGCCTCCTTAGATGGGCTTCTGTAAACTGTTTCTGTAGTAGTCTTCACAATTTATTATAATACATAGCACTTGTATTACATTTCATCAAGAAAATGTAAGGTATGTAACTATTGACCACAATTCCTGAAAACTGTAGAAAAACCAGTGGCTTGTTAATGTGCTAATTAACAGTGAATTCAACTTTTTTCCTTTTCTGAAGTTACTTAAGATGTTGAGGTTAACCATGTTATCGTTAATATTTGTGTTACATAGGTACTCTGCTATTTCTGTCTACACTGATGACTCAAAGTTCCCTTCCTTGATCAAAGGAATAGGAAGGAGCAGTTCCTTGGGGAAATACTTTGCCTGTGAGTCTCATGTAAACACATTTAGCATTCTCCAAGGAATCAAGGAGTTATTTCTGTAGCAGGATGTGTATGATTTCCTTAACTACTTGATTCTCCCTTTCTGATAATGAATATTAATATAAGGACAGAGATACAAGCAAACATATCACTTCACAGAGTCATTGAAAAGTTAAGGACTTTCCCTAAAGAGTTTAAGATTATGAATATTGATTATGGTCCTGCCGTCCGTATTTAAAGAGCATGATCCCTGGTCTCATGTCAAAAATTGCTAAATGTTTTAAACAGCTGCTCCCAACTTCAGTAGATTGACTGCTTCAGCTCTAGGAAGAAAAAAGTATGTTAAAAGTAGATTAAAAATTAAAAAATGGATTACACCATTCCTTAGGTAGAAATAAATAATATATGCCACTAATTATTGGAATTAATAATTAAAGCTAAAACCATTCATATCCTAAAAACATACATGCACATTTTTATTTTTATAGATTGTATAAATTTATAAAGTGACCCTGGGAAACTTGATGCCTATTTTCACTAGAGCTGTACAGATCCATTTGGGCTGGTAACCTGCCCACTTTGCAATGAGGATGCAGGCTAAAGCAATTGAATGCTGATAGTCCTCCAGTACCTTCCCAAAATTCCCCATCTGTACCCAGAAGAACAGACACGTTCTCCCATAATTCCCTTGGGGGGAAAAAAAAAACCAGAATGGCTCAGTGGCTGCATCTGGCTTTGTCACACAGTGGCTCACACGCAGGATTGTCTTACCTGAATGCTCAGACACAGGTACTGATCATTCAGATTAACATTGTAAAGAAGATATGGCATTTGTAAAGCAGGTAGTAGTAAGGATTAGTAACTTCAACATAAAACATTATATCAGGAGGATTAGGTTGTGATTAATGACTAATCAAAATGCAGCATTTGCCCTTGCCATTTTTAACTTTGTATCCCATTAAAGGAAGTAAACAGCAAATTGTTAATACAGTTGAAGAGAAAGTGGAGAGGTCAGACTTGTATTTAAAGGTTGGAGTGTGAAGGTGGGGATTGTAGTTCTGGCTCGATCATATGTTTGTTGTGAATTTGAGCAAGTTATTTAACATCTCTGTCTGTCACTTTTTCCATCTAAAAAAAGGATAAGGCTTTCACACTTGGCATAGATGCTGTGAAAAATAATTCAGTAATGTCTGTAAAGGGCTTGAAAAGTTTGCAGAGAAAACTCTTAACTGCACTTTTTTTAATTTCATGAGTTGGAACAAGAATGGTTTTGTGAAAGTTTGGTCCCAGCAGCTTTGTGATTGATCCACCCATAATTTTTCTTTTTGACTCTTGTGCAGAAAAATAAATAAACAGGATGAACTTGAAGCCATGAATTCTTGTTTTGGGAGAGGGGAAGAACATATCCTGGACAAATTTAGTTTATTTTTTAAATTATTGCTCTTTCATAAATCTTAAAAAGTGTGTTTATGTCCTTCCCTTGCTCCCTTCAGGTGGACAATAGGCTTGATGGCCCATGGGATTCAAGGGAGAAGATTGTGGCATTTAGTTTTGATTACTGTTATTGGTCAATTGATCCCGAAGATCCTAAATATGCATCTCAGGAAGTGGTGAGTAATGTTCCTTCGGCTCTTTGTGTTTGTGTGCTCACTGGCAAGTCCTGTTTGGTCTTTTATTTTTGTGCCTGGTGAGAAGTGGGGGGATGTAAGAGTGGGGAAGATTTCTGCACTTTGATTTTCATATTCTGTTTATTATGCTTCAATACTGTATTCCACTTATGCTTTTGTCACTGTCCTTCATTTAAAATATAAGTGCTCTATTGCTCTTTGTAGTAATTGATAGACAGTACTTTGATTGTCTATCAGCTTTGTGATGAGCATTGAAATTGATCATCTAAGATGGAACCATGAGGATCCCACTTAAAAATGAAAAATAATTTGGGCTGAGATACAGGGGGAAGGGAATGATGATATTCTAAGCACATTCTCAGACTTAGTCCACAGAATCAAAGTAAGTAGATGTTTCTACACTAATGATAAGCAGAGAAATAATGAAATTTTTAAATGGCAGCATTGGACTTCAAAACACACCTTCCCCTGCAATTTTGAATAGCTTTCATTTTAAATTAAGGAATTGGAAAACTTTTATTACTGACTAGTGCTCCTTCTAGTCTGCTATTTCAAGATTTGCATGGTTAAATAAGGAGGTAATAAAGATATCGTGGCAAAAATGTAATAAGATACACTTTCTTTATTCAGTAAGCCAACAATTCTTAAGTGTACTAGCAAAATATAAAATAAATACGTAAAGAAAAAACAGGCCCTACTTGCTTCAGGAATCTCCCTGTGTGCATTCAGTTATATCCGTTGGTAAAAGTGACCAAGAAAATAATTTACTGCTCTTTGCTCCTCAGATAAGTCAGATAAATCCTAAACCTAAACCTCCCTTGCTGCAGCTTGAGACCATTGCTCCTTGTTCTGTCATCACCAGGGATTCTGGTTTTCTCTGATTAAAAATTGCAAATTCTCTGATTTAAAAACCCAGAATCCCCAGAGCCTCCCCTCAGCCCTGCTAGTGCCCTGCACTTCCCCCCGCAGTCTCAACAGCCCTCCTGATGCTCTTGCAACAGCCCCACAGACATGCAGGCACAGACACATAGACGCTGACACCCACCCCAGCAGGTAAGTGTGTGGGGGGAAGGGGCGGGGCAGGGCGGGGGAAAGGGAAGGTGCTGGGGGGTAGATCAAGAAGTGGGGGAGTGTGCCCCTGTGCCCACTCCCAGGAGCAGGGCCAGGAGATGAGGGCAGGGGTGCCACTCTGTGGGACACATTTGCTGACTGGCCTGACAGGAGGTTCGCACACGGAGGCCGCCACCGCAACTCTGCCACTGCACTCTGTGCTACCGTCCCACAGCCACCTGCACGGCTTTGTGGGCAAGTGGCACGGGGTGCGGCAGCGGTAGTGCGGTGGCAACCACCATGTGCGGGCTACATATGTGCCGCCTGGCTGGGGGGTGGAATAGGGGGCTTACATGCAGTGACATGCCCCACAACCGGCTGCATGGCTCTGCGGTGGTGTGGGGTGGCGCTGCATGCAAGCTGGGGGGGCTTTGCAGGCAAGTGCTGCCACCACGGAGCCATGCCCTTTGACCCTGGATCCTAGAGGTAAGTGGGGCTTGGGGGCTGTGGGGCAGGGTTCGGGAAAATGGTTGGGGTCTGAGGGAGTGAGGGTGCTGCCGGCCCCAGGCAGCACACCACAGCTGGGAGCAGGGCCAGGGGGTGAGGGCAAGGGTGCCTCTCTGCGGGGGGGCTTTGTGGACAAGTGATGCGGGGTGCAGTGTGGTGGTGCCTGCCTTGTGCGGGCTGCACACATGCCGCCT